AAGCTAAGGCGGATAAACTAGAGAGGGATAATATCCTTAATAGGGTCTATTCCGACGACTCCTATTATATCGCCTACTTTCTAACCTATACGAAGAAAGTATCTAGTCTATTAAAGAGTTAGTACCGTCGGGTTATTCGCTATTCTCGACGATTCCTAGTTAAGAATCGAATCCTTTAGCGACAAGCGATAGTTAATGCGCCTCTCTAGCGTGTTATTAACGACCTAGCAGCCCGATAAGAGATCCTTCGTTCCGTTTACGATAAGCTCGGCTACCGGGCGGCGGAGGGCACCTTCGATGTCCTTCGTCGGCGCTACTAGTAGGATAGCGTATAGGCCGACGTCTCTCGCTACTGCAAGAGCTGTCCTAAGTGCAATTTTAGGAATAGCTACCGTCGGCTAGGCGAGCTGCGTATCCCCGCTGCCTAATCAGTTAGTAAGCGATAGTACGGTAATAGGGTTTATCTAAGCCGGAACAATAGCCTCTATATTATTCGGGAAGGTCTTTCTCGATAGCCTAAAGCCTATTATTTCTATAAGGGCTGCGGCGCTATTAATGCTCGTAATATAGCCACCTTCCTATTTAAAGATCTCTTTTGCCGCTAGGGAACGCCCTACGAGATTATCTTAGACAACGCTACGAACAATATAGCTAAAGAAGTTTAAGTACTACTTGTTTCGTATAGGGCGAAGAACGTTCGTATCTCCCCGTACTATCCCTAGTCGAATGCTATTATTAAGCGTAGCTATCGGTCTTTAATCGATGCCCTATCTAAGATAACTAATAGAGGAGACAGGTCCGTTCCTATCTCTATCCGCGTTCCGGCCCTTCTCTAGGCGGATCGAACTACTATTATCGACACGACTAGACTTACGCTAGTAGAGCTTATAATTAGGAGGGACGCCGTTCTTCCTATTAAGTTGTCCTATCGCACGCATAGCGTTTACGACTAGGGGTCTATTCGTACTAGAGTAGATCTCCTTACCCTACGCGCTAAGGCTCTTAAGGATATAACTACTACTTCTTAAGAGGGTCTTGCTCGATAACGGCGCCTCCGTAAAGAGGCTAAGTAGTATTTTGATAACTATAATGCTGTTAATTAGGAGCCTCTAAAGGTTAGCGATATAGTTCTCCTATACCGGTCCGAGTTAGAATATAGTTACTCCTATAAGCTAGCCTTTAAATAGAAAGGGCCTTATAGAGTGTAGGAGGTCCTTTACGATAGTTCTACGTACCGACTTTAGGAGCTTGATAGTGCTACCTTAAAGCACTCGCACCCCCGGGCTAACCTAAAAAAGATCGTCGAATTAAGAGAGCCTACCCGTCCTCCCCCGACCGAGGAGGAAGTTAATGCCTCTATAGACCCTCTACCGACCTTAGATGCCTATCGAGAGGAGGATCCTACCGCGATTATAGATCCTATTCTACCCGATAACTATACGCATCCCTAGATACATCTTAGTAAGCTATTAGGAATAACTTATAAACAAAGGGAGGGTTATATACGTATTAATTGCGCATAGAGCATTTCCGATGTTAATTCCGATAGTAAACTAGACTTCTAGCTATCTGACTCTAACTCCGAGGAGGAGCTCGACTAGTCTAGCGACGAAGACCGCCTAGAATTATAGCTAGATCCCGAGACTAAATAATTGCTTGTCTTTCCCTACCTCTACTACGTTATTTTCCTTGCCTTCTCCGCGCTATTAATACAGTGCCGCCCTATAGCTTCAGTCCTTACTACTTGTTCCTACGGATGTTAATGCTTATAGTTGCTACCCTCTTTTGCTTTTACTTTATCTATTGTGTTGCTCTTTTGCCTTCGAGATGTTGCTATAACTTTATTCCTTTACTCTTGTTTTTCCTTAGATAGAACTATACGAGGCGTGTTTTCCTAATAATATCCCGGGGGTAGTATTAGGAAGATAGCCGAACCTAACCCCTCTACCCTTCTAGGACCACTTCCCTCTAGATTCCTAGACTCTAGTAACCTTCCTTAAGTAACAACGACAATAAGATACTCTACTAGAGACTGTTCCTGCCCTAATTAGCACTAGTTACGTAGGACACTAAGAAAGGGAGGTTCCCTATCCCTCTCCCTTCCTAGCTCTTAGATAGACATAGTAACCTAGGCCTATAGCCTCTAAGAATAGGGACCTTAGGCTATTAAGCTTAGTGTTTAGAAGAAGGAAGAAGGTGAACGCACAGACTACCCTTACGTACTTACTAATGTGAAAGGTAATGCTGCATCTACAACGGTAGTACTATAGGCTAATATACCGACGAATTAGCTACGCTAGGCCTAGGCGACTTGCTTCTCGCTACCGAGCATCTCTAGAGAAAAGCTAATGCTACCCCGGGGGTGTTATTAGTCCCGCTAGCTTCACTACTATAGATTTCTACTAAGGACTCGAACTAACTAGTTACATTTCGAGTGCGCGAGAATCTACGATAGCTAAAGGTTAACAAAGGCGCGTAGTCGCTACTAGCAATTAGCTAGATCGATTGTCAAACTTTAGCTTGCCCTAATAATAAAGAAGTCTCGTATATAGCTTTACTTTTATATGCAGCCGTTATCCGTTTGCTTTACTAGCGCGGAATATACGGACTACGTTACCTTCGTACTATATTTAAAGCAAGCTCCCTAAGCTCCTTCTTCCACTCGGTTACTAACTAACTCGCTACCGCCTAAAACCCCCCTTCTATCTAAACCCTTCAATTATTATTGTTAAGTAACGAATACACTTTGCAAACTCGTTTCTAAACCGCCTCGGTCGACTATGTCTTCCGGCGCCCCGAATCCGCTAGGCGCTAGCAGTAGCAACGACCTACCTGCCCCTATTAACCTAAGCCTAGCCGCCCTAGTTCCGATCGAAGCCCTATCCGATAGCGCCTTAGCTGCTACAACTAGCCTCGAGCACTGCTTCTAGATCGTTACCGCCCTTAAAGACCCTTAAGAGAAGATCTAGAACGCTCGTACCCTACTACGCGTTATTAATAGGAACATTAAGAAGGCTGCTATCTTAGTTACGTACGGTATAAACAACTTGCGTTAGTCTATCGGTAAGCGTATCTTCAAGCGCGAGGTTCTTAACGATATAGATATTAAATAAGCCTTTCCTATCGTCTATAGCCTCGAGACTACCGGTACCTAGATTCGTTTGCGCTTTAAGACCCTCGACTAGGCCTTCGAATACTAGGGAGGACTAAGCAGTCTTCCTAAGAGCCTTATTAACTTCGCCTACGGTAGATAAGAGCGTGCTAAGCAGGTCTCTTCGTTCGTTAACAAGTACAAGGTCTGTCGTTAAGGCGCCGAGTATCTTTCCCGTACTATAATCTATCGTATATCTACCGCTAGTAAGAAGGTAGGCAAGCAGTTGCTTAACTTGTCCTTTACGCTTAACGACTTTACGATAGCCTACTAGAAGAAGTACTACGATACAATTGTCTAGGTCGATCTTAACGTATAGACAACTAAGGATCTACTAAAAGAGAAGGGCTGTCGCATTAATAGTGCAGGCTTTATTGTTAAAGGTTAAGAGGCTCCTATCGTTAATATCCTTAAATATAAGGCCCTTCGCCTAGAAACTAAGGCCGATACGGCTGCTAGTCTTGCGCTCGCTACGGAGATGCAGGCTAAGGATCGTCGCTCGACCCGTAACCGTAAGGTCCCTTAAGAAGTTTAAGACGAGCGCGCTAAGGCCGAAGCAGCGCGTAAGAAGGCATTACATGCTCGCTAGGCCCTCCGTAAGGCTACTAAGAAATACAGCGCTCCTTCTAGTACCGACTATAGTACTAACTATAGTACTAACTATAGTAACTCGGATATTAATATACTAGATGCACTACTAGAAGATGTCTCCTCCGAAGGCTCCTTTAGCGAGCGTAGAAATAGAGGCCTCTCGCCGATCCTATTAACTAAGAACATTTGCGGTTCTTATAAGGGCGACTCTATCGCGTACCTTATTACCGACATCGATATAGTTCCTAAAGCCGTAATAGGCGAAGCCCCTACCGCCCTCTCTATTTGTTAACAGCTCGACGACCTTAGTAAGCTAGGAGAAGAGCTGTTCTCTATATATACTAACTATGTCAAGAAGGCCGCTAAGGTCTATAGTCTCTATACTAGTACTAAGGCGAGTATCCTCGTCGGTCGCCTATTAAAGATTGGTCGCGAGGTTCCTAATTAAGACGCCTTCGCTACCCTTAAGGCTGATTAGGCCTATGCTAACTAGTTTCCTAGACGCCCTATTGCCGCCCCGATATCTCTAGGACTCTACGCGTTCAACCCTACTAGTACTGTTACTCGCGCCCTTACGCTAACAGATCGCTAGAGCAAGTTCGTTACCGGTATTCTTAGCTAAGGTACCTCCTTCGATCGCTTTCGCTAGACTAGTAATACTATCTTCCCTTAAGTCTTTAGTTAGTTACAAGAGCCTCGTAGAGCATATCTTCCTTTCCTTATCGACCTAATATAGGAAGAGTTTAAGATATACCTTTAGCATATGCGTAATATACCTAAGTCTAAGCAAGAAGGCCGCAATGCCCTTTAAACTTATAGTGTAAGCAACTAAATCGTCCGCTAGCACCCTACCCTATAGCTGTTAGCTGTCGCCCTTCGACCTAATTACGTATACGAGCTTATCTCCGTCCCTAAGCCTACTAAGTTCTTTAAGGTTAGCGGTACTTACGAAAACTGTCCTTCTAAGGAGTCTACTCGTCTCGGATAAGATATAGTTAAGCTCCACGCCGCCATGCTCGTAGAAGCGGGCATCCTCGGTGGCCAGGAACGCCTGCTTCAGCTTCTCCGGCACGTCCTTGAAGGCATACATTAGCCCGAGGTCTTTACGAACTAGGTTAAGAAGCTTAAGGCTCGTAGCCTAGTCCTACTAAGCAAGATCGGCAAGCTTACTAATAAGTACCTTACCGACGACGACCTCGACTATATATTCGGTAGTTAGCCTAATAGTAAGGGGCGTAAGGCGGAGTAGATCCTTTCCTCAAATTTGTCCCGAAACAGTACCTTGAGTGCCGGGGCCGAAGTCAAGGCATTGCGATGAGAAAACCAGTGCAATGAGCGCTGGCTGGCGCGAATGTCGCCGTCGCCGGTGAAGGGAACGCTCGATGTCTTCTGCTCTCGGCATACCGTCGTCGATACAAGACTTGCTTGAGCCGCCAGGTGGGTCGTCGAAGCACAGAAGCCCAGTTTGATACCTCGCCAATGGCTTACCCGACAACCAGATCCTTCGAAGGTCAAGACGGCACCGACAGGCTCGCCAAGTCTGGTTGCGAACAGATTGAGAGTCTGGTCCGGTCTTGGCTGTCTGCAAGTATCGTTCTCGAAGGATAACACAACTGGAGACAAGCCTTCAGTTCAAGGACTGCTGATAAGAACACGAGGGAGAGACCGTTCCTGATGAGATGAGGTCGAAGATGTTCACCAGACTCAAGCTTCCGGCGGCTCCTTCTTTCCCTCTGCTTACCGTAAGTACCTTACTGTACCTTACGTAAGATCCTCCGCGATCACGTGAGAGGGACCGGAGCATTCCAATCCCTTGCCCGAGGCTCGAGCTGAACAACCCGAAGGCTCTGGAGCAACTCCACCTTGCATGATGCCATAGTCTCCATTTCTACTGGGTTCGATACTGTGCACTGTGATGTACGAGTCGCCATTCGCATGTCATCAAGCAAAGGTCAAGTATAATTCTTTCGGCATTTGTCAGCGTCTCATACTCCCTTCATCCTCCGCGTTGACTTGAACCCTTCTCTATTTACTCTTTGCGAGGAATTGATCAGGCAAAGCGAACAGGAACCAGAACACAAGATGAAGGAAGCTATCGTCCACGCTGGACCTAAGGTCGAAATCCGAGAGGTCGACATCCCCAAGCCTGGACCTCACCAGATTGTAACCAAGATTGTCTACTCTGGCAGTAATCCGAAAGACTGGAAGGTCCCAGAATGGCTTCGACAAATACCGGCTCTCAATCAAGGCGATGACATTGCTGGTGTTGTTCACGAGATCGGCGAAGGAGTGGTGGAGTTCAAGAAGGGAGACCGAGTTGCAGCATTCCACGAGATGCTCGCGCCTGGAGGCTCTTACGCTGAGTACGGGCTCAGCTGGGATCACACAACTTTCCATCTTCCAGAGAAGACTAGCTTCGAGGGCAAGTGTTTCCTGGCCAAGTAATGAATGTTCTGAGCTAACGAAAAGCCACGCAGAGGGTGCAGCGATTCCACTCGCAGCTTTGACAGCCGCCATTGGTCTATTCGCCAACGACCGCCTCAACCTACCACAACCCACTGCGCCCGCCAAAGAGCCCATCCCTCTCGTTGTCTACGGTGCCTCCTCAGCTGTCGGATCCTATGTCCTCCATTTCGCCAACCGCGCCAACATCCACCCATTGATCTGCGTCTCCGGCCGAGCACAAGAGCACGTTGAGAAACTGATCGATCGATCAAAAGGCGACACTATCATAGACTATCGTAAGGGCAACGAAGCTGTCGTAAAGGGCATCAAAGACGCCCTCAAAGGAGCCAAACTCTTCTACGCATACGACGCAGTCTCCGAGCACAACTCATACCAGAACATCTGCGGAGTCTTAGAGCCAAATGGCAACATCACGCTCGTATTGCCTGGGAAAGAATATCCCGAGATCCCGGCTGGTGTGAACAAGACGATCACACAGGTTGGAGATGTACATGGCAGCCATAAGGATCTTGGATTTGTCTACTCGCGATTAATTACGAGAGGATTGGATGAGGGTTGGTTTAAGGCTCAGCCGCAGGAAGTTGTACCTGGTGGGCTTGGAGGTGTGCAGAAGGCTTTGGAGAATCTGAAGAATGGCAATGCTAGCGCTGTCAAGTATATCTTTAAGATCGCTGATACAGAGGGCGCTGAGAAGGCGTAAGGTATATAGCTGTATGTACAGTGTTAGCAATGATCGAAATCATAAGTGACTCCAGTCTTGTGTCGATAGTTTTGATCAAAATGGTCACTGTGCTGTCGTGGCTCATACGTCTCCGTCGTGCATGGCTACCAGCACCGGCAGCTACTCTTGCCAAGGCCAGCGCAGAGAGCTCGGAGTTCGGAGTGCCTCGTGCCACGGTGCCTACTTCCACCACCACGCATTTTGTGACTGAGACACTGCCCGTCATGTGCCAAAAGGTGCGATGCGAGATTCGATATGAAGGCGTCCTTCGATGACGATCAAGAGCTTGGGAGTCTGCCGAACGGAACGGCTTATGATGAAAACATAGTCATGGAAGAAGACGCGCTTCTAGGCGCGGCGGAGACAACACTAGAAGATATCAAACAATTTGCAGAGCAATATGGACTCGACAACAGGCTCGAACTCCTGCAAGACGCTGCTGCATTGCTGAGAGATGGCGAGACCGCAGCCACCTCGGACGGTAATCGGCGCAGTAAATGGAGCCAACCACTCCAGCTGTACCTATGCATCCTCGCGACAGCATTCGGCGCATTGGGACAAGGCTGGGCGCAGACAGGTATCAACGGAGCGAACCTCTATTTTCCACAGGTCTTTGGTATCGGCCCACTTATAGTCGGCTTCATCAACGCTGGAATCTATTTCAGTACCGGCATTCTGGGATCCTGGCTCGTGGCACCTATGAACAAGCACTTGGGCCGTAGAGCAACAGTTTTCGCGGGAGCTCTCATCTCTCTACTCTTCAATCTCGGAGGCTCAGCAGCAGGGAGCTGGCAAAGCTTGCTTGTGTGCCGATTTGCTTTGGGGATTGGTCTCGGACTTACGAATTGTACTCTGAATATCTTCGCAGCTGAAAGTGCGCCTGCAGCTATACGAGGAGGGCTGGGAGTCGCATGGCAGATGTATACCGCATTCGGCGTCTTTGTCGGGTTTCTGACGAATATGCTGGTGGACAGCAATCCGGAAGCTTATGGCCCACTACGATGGAGGGTCATGTTGATGGCGCCTGCATTGCCGACTGTGCCTCTGATGTTCCTCATATTCGTTTGTCCTGAATCTCCGGCTTGGTTGATCAAGCAGACCGGTGACTATGGTCGTGCCTTCCAATCTCTGGCAAGATTAAGAAACACGGAACTAGAAGCCGCCCAGGAAATTGTCAACATCCATGCTCAGAGAAAGCGTGTTGCGAAGATCGTGGAGCCACGTTCGTTTGGCAAGACTGTTGTCGAGCTGTTTACCATTCCACGAGTCAGACGTGCTACACTTGCTGCGTACAGTGCTCAAATCTCTCAGCAACTCTGCGGCATCAACATTGTAAGTGAAGCAAAGCGTGGAGCTCAGTAGTCCATCTCTAACTTTGATCTGTATCGCAGGTCGCATTCTATTCCTCAACGATATTCGTCCAGGCTCACTTCACGACCTATGCTGCAGAGATGGCGTCGACCATCTTCGGCCTAGTCAACTTTCTTGGGGCGTTTCCCGCAATCTGGACAATGGACTCCCTTGGCAGGCGCTCTCTGCTGCTCTTGACATTGCCTCCGATGGCGGTATCAATGGCAATCGCCGGATTCAGCTTCTCCATTTCCGACGACAGTGCTACGCTCAGATTCGGCTTGACGACCAGCATGATCTACCTCTTCTGCTTACTCTACTCTCCGGGCATGGGTCCGGTCCCAGCAACATACTCTGCAGAAGTATTCCCTTTGTCCCACCGAGAAGTGGGAACTTCCTCAGCAATTGCGGTCACGAGTCTTTTCGCCACAATTCTATCGCTATCATTTCCCTGGTTGCTAAGCGTGCTTGGAACTCAAGGCAGCTTCCTGCTGTACGCAGTGCTGAATGTAGTAGCCTGGGTCCTCGTGTTCCTCTTCGTGCCGGAGACGAAACGTAGAACGCTGGAAGAGCTGGATGAGACATTCTCGCTTGCCACTGGCGATTTTGTCAGGTATCAGGTTCAAGAGGTCGCCCCGTGGTGGATCAAGACACATCTGCTGCGTCGAAAAGATGTCAAGCTTGCGGCGCATCCTAGTGAAGGGTATGGGCACGAATATACTCCTGTCGAGCGAGATTCAGACTAATGTCAATTGCAATAACGCAAAAACCTCATCGCCCTTGCGTCAAAAGTCAGCAGTCGAAGTACAACATCCCAAATCCCTTGTTGATGTTGTGGGATGCGGTCACGTTGAGCGACGACCTCTTGCGCCGTGCCATCGAGCGACAGTGGGCTGACAGGCGCTGTTTACCGGATTACAAAAAACGAAGGATAACATGACGAGAGTGAGGAGATTTGGAGGTGTGACTTGAAGCTCCACGGCTTCGTAGCATGAGTAGTATTGTGAATCGGTGTCTTGAAAGACCCAAGATGGCGGGATGGAGTCATACCAGTCGCGAGGTCACGCTGGCCCAGGACCATAATAACCGGGCCTTCTTGGGCTCCTTCTTGTCTTCTGTGAGGTGTGAGCTGCTGGTGTGATGAAGAAGTGGTTGTACCACATCCTTGGTCGTGGAAGGGCACAAGTGAGATGCCGTCTCACTGCGGTTCAAGAATGGCAGACTCCTCTGCTTAGTGCTGCGAGATCTGTAGCGCTATGATCCTGGCATCCTCGCCGCTGAGGCGCACGAAAGCCTACCAAACCCCCGGATGAACGCGTTCACGAACGATGATGGTCCATCTAAATAGCAAGAGCATTACGAGCATATACAAGAGTCGCCAGGTATTGTTGCAGTCCAGCGGTCCAACAGACTTAACGTGAAGGACCGCACCATGCCAATGCGAATACACTTTGTCGCAGACGGAGTGTATTCCAGAGGTTGAGGTGGCACCATCGAGTCGAGTGGTGGACAATGTCGGGATGGGTCAGAAACCTCGCGTCCAATATTCTCGCTGGTTAGCCGGATTCACGCTCCGCAAGACCTGTAAAGCGAGATGGAGGTGCGCGTCGCTGATCCATCTCGAGATCGAGGCGTGCCAAGACAGGCAATAGGTCGCTACGAGAGTCGCCCGCGACGGACCGAATACAATATCGCGGGCGATATCTACCTTGAAGGCTGAATTGGCAAGTTGGCGAGAAGTGTTCGGATGATGGAGAAAGAGATGGGGCGGTCCCTTCCTGTCACACCCACGTCAGATTCAGAACAGTCTTTCAACGCCGCTCCAGCGCTCTCCATGCCTGGCAAAACTTCCCCAACGCCACACACCATCTTCCCCCCGGACTCGGAGAAGATCGCGCGATCTTCTCCGCCAAGTTGCAGAGAGAAAATTTCGAGCGTCGAGTTTGCGAAGGATCAAATTCTCCACGAGACAGACGGACGAAGCCAAGGATCCACGATCCAAAGACGAATTTTCCCAGTGAAGCGCGCGCATGCTGCGGAAGGAAGCTGAATTGGCTTTTTGGTGGAAATTTGGTGAGGCTGTGATGAATATAAAGAGGGAGAAGGAGAATGGAGTCAGTCAGTCATTCATCACCTCACCCCGCGACTGAACGGGGATTGGAAGCAAACGACTCGACTCACTCACCTATCGAGCTCATTGGCTTGTTCGACACAGGATCACGACTACGAACTAATCCGAAGATTATTCAAGGCGGCATCGGACTTGGTTGTGTTTAGTCATGCGTGTGAGCTCACTTGGAAGCCGTCAGTCAGTCATGCTGATGAAAGGAGAATTTGCTTGGGAAGGCGTTCGCTTTGTATGTATGATACCCACTCGCGCGCGCGCGCTGCGATGATTCATAGGAAACACGAGAAACGACACGCAAAGCGTTCAAAAATCAAAGAAAATGTTGCTCAAAGCTTGAACTTTTCGCCATATGAATCCTATGACCATGCCGTGCTGATGCTCCCGTCTTTCGTCCTCCAACGCCACGCTCACATTCATCTTATGTACCAGCATCCACATTCAATCATGCACTCCCAGCACCGTCACTGGCGTGTCAATCCTTTCACCTCATATCAGCGTGCGCTTCACGATGATCCGCATAATCCTCCTCAGTGACCAGTACAGACGGCTAGCCTGTCAAACTCGAAGAGGAACGGCTGGGTGGTTCAGGTCTCTTCCGCGAGGCCGGCGCGACCTTGACATCGTTGACGTACTCAGTCCAATGCTTCGGTATTGGCGAGTGTACTGGTCCCGGAGTTCGATAGGGCGTTCCGGTAGAGTAGTACGACTCGGGAGGATTCGGGTTGACCCAGTCGTCTTTCCAAGGCTCATCGACGATTGCTTCCTTGAGGTCCTTGTAGGTGGTCATGGCAGATTCTAGATTGTCCTTTAGCGATGTGTCTCATCAAGCATCTCTCACCCCCAGTAGGGGACATTACTCGTGATCGTTGAGATAGTATCAGCGATTGAACTGGTTGTGTCCGCGGCGGACTTGGATCGTTGACCGCTCAGCTGTGGTTCTCGAAGTTAGCATAATGTTCTAGATTTTCCTAAGTCACTTCCGTCCTTACCTCCATGTTCACGCCACGGTGCAGCTGCACAAGCCAGTCGACGTAGCTGCTTGCCTCGCCATTGCGATCCTCGTACAGCAAACGCGCGAACTCGAATTCAGCGCCGTCAAGACCCTGTCTCGCAATCTGAATGGAGAGACCTTTCGAGCCTCTGCCAGTCCCAGCACCTTGCTCGAGTGCGATAAGAATGTTTCGCACTTGGGCATTCAAATGCGTCTCCAAGATAGGTAGGGCATTCATATTGGGGTCCAGCTTCTGTAAATCATCAAATCCCTCGCCGAACAGGTCGGTAAGCAGATTGGGGTTCACAAGCTGATGTAGCCAAAGTATCATAACTTGCCCGTTGTCAACCAGATATGCACCCCCTTCTTCGATGTTTGCAAAGCTTGCTCGCACACCGTGCGGCATCTTGAGATGTCCGTTCTCATCCGCGAATCCATCGGTGGTGTCGAGGCTGTGGATGGCGATGATGCGAGGGTAGAGGTACAAGCTCAATTCGCCTGCGCCCATGCCTTTGACATTGCGCAGCTCCATGACTCGTCGATCGCTCGGCTCCTTGCCACCTTTCAGAGCACGAGATTTGATCAAGCCGAGAACGTACATGGCGAACTCTTTCATATGCTCAGGCATCACAAGCTGGCCAGCTGGGTGTTGGCCAGAATGGTGCTTCCGATACATGGCAAGAACGTCAATGAGCTTGTCTTGCAGCCACTGTCGAGTGTCGGCTAGTGATCGATCTGGTACACGGGAGGCTGACTCCTTTGCCAGAACGGCGATCACAGCATCCTGATCAACGAATCGCATACTGTCACGAGCGTTCTCGGTGACTGTGGCGACCACATTGGAGCATCTCACGCGTCTCTGGCCGCTTGCAGTTGTGTAGAGAAGAGCTGACTGAAAGTGGGCGTCATTACGGGTCTCGAGCTTGCCATCGTAGCTGAACGTGACAGACATGGAGGTGTCCTCGGTAATGGATCCCATCTCCAGATCGGCGCCGAACGTATGTTGCGTGAAATTGCCACTGTAGTGTGCAACTTGCAGACCATTACTACATCGAACCTTCATCAGCGCGGCATAACCTTGATCTCGCTGTAAAGCATGGCTGAGCTCCTTCTGTAGTCGCAAGGTATCCCGTGGATATGCCCAATTCGCGTAGTAAAATGTCTCGCCACCAGTCTTTTCGGCGATGTATCCAATCGAGGCTACATCGAGGTATCCGCCAGAAGGCGCCGTGAGGAAGAAGTCCACGCCCACCCCAGCTTTGACGCAGTCTGCTTGGAACTTCTTGTAGCTTGGGTTCTCGCACTTGAGAAGCACTCGATCCTGCTCCGGGTGGTCGTTGGTTGCGGTCTGCATGCGTTGGTCGCGGACTGTCAGACGAGCCGGAGCTGGACCGTAAGTTGGAAGACTAGCAAGACTGCACATAATCTTGCCCCCGGTGTCATGCAGAGCGGAGAGCGCAGCCTGCAAACACGGGATGAGGGTCGGTTCGGCATGCTTGATCCTCTCAAACATCATGGGCAATTGACTGAGTAGGGTAACGATATTCGACTTGCTTTCTCCAGCATCGACGAAAAGATGATCCCCGGAAATGGCAGCGAATGGGTCTTCGAGGTCTGACACCACCATTTGTTGTGGTGCAGGACGTCTCTTGTGCACGTTGTAGAAATGGATTTCACGGTCGAAGGTCATGAATCCCACCTTGACACCAGGGGGAACTTTGCTCGGTCGTGGAGGCTTCTCGGTTTCTTCGACCTCGTCGTCGTCTGCAGCATCAAGCTCAAGATCATCGCCATATAAAGCTGCCAGAATTCCATCGCACATGGCTTTGAGGAAGCCACGATTGCAGCTCTCTGCGCTGACGTCGATCAAATATAGACAGCGCATACCCACAGGCTCCTTGGACCAGTACTCCCTTGGCACCAGAAATTCGCAGGTACCTAGGAGAAGCTCCGGTCGTTGTTGGCGATCGATACGCACGCCGGAAGGATCTGTAGGTGCAAAATAGCTCTGTTCAGTCTCGTTCGGGTGTCCACATAGATTGCAAGTCATCCGGTTGCCGCCATTCCCAAATACCATGAATGGGTTGATGTAGGCTCGGCATCTCCGGCATCGTGGTGGGCCAGCTTCTCCGAAGTCTAGCACAGGTATAGCAGCCTCGCCATCCATCTGTTTGGCGAGAGGTTGCAGTACCAAGCCAAGAGGTAAAGCAGTTGTTGCCAATTGCTCGGTCGAATTAGGAATACAGTTCACAGTCAGACGTGCGAACTTTGGGGCAGCACTTCCTTGATCGAAGGCGACCAAAGGCGTAGTCGCCGGAGGAGGTAGTCGCTGCTCCATAGTAGGGTATACGTGTTGCTTATAACATTCAGCAGCCATATCTCTGCTCAGAGGTATGCTTGGTACGAGCTGTGGGTTGACTCGCTGAGCACCAGGAGCTTGTGATCCATTTTGTCCCATATTGATAGGTTGCCCAACAGGCGATTGAGGCTGCATCGGAGCTTGCATTTGGGCAGCAGGCTGTGGCATTTGCTGAGTTTGCCATGGCTGTGTTGTTTGTGCCCATGGCGCTGCTGCTGGGTCGGCGCCCGGTTGTGTCTGAGGTGCTTGGCCATTCATGAACTGGCCAGCTGGTGCTCCGCCATATGTCTGCGCTCCCCCAGCAGGCTGTTCGATGTGGTGAAAGGCATGTCGGTGCTTCTTCTTGCGACCCGCTGGTGCCGCCGCGCCGCCATCGATTCCCATCTGGCCCATCTGTTGCGTCACTCCTGCCATGTCTTGTTGCCCTTGATATTGCTGCTGGCCCATTCCGGGCTGCTGGCCGTAGCTCATCGTTTGCGGCTCTGGTGGGACGTAGCTCTGGTTCTCTGGAGGCGGTGCCGGGCTCGGAAGTCCAACTCCCTGTTGATATGCACTCGGAGAAGGTGCCACTGGCGGTTGAGATTGTGAGGACTGTCGCTTCGCTCGTGCGCGTGCGCCGTCATGTGCGGGAGTGCCGAAAGCAAAAGGATTCGCATTGGGCGAGGAAATTTGGAAGGACATCGAAATGTTTGACTTATGCGGAGCGGAGGTGGGCAAGCTAGGGCTACGTATATGTATATCCAGTTATGGGATATGCTTACCGTATTATTATGCTGCTTCTGAGCCTCTGAGCACCACTTCTGCTTCGCGACACTTGTCAACTCCGATTCCATGCAACTTCTGTCTAGTGCGCCGCATTGTGCCTCCAATCGTTTCCGTTTTTCTCAACAGGCAACGTCGGTATGATCGCTACCAAGAATACTCCCACAAACAAATGCCGGTCGCTTAAGTGTAGCATCGCACAGCATGGAGAGCATAAGTAGAATAGCACGAGCACACGCTCTCAGCTGTTCCCGCGATTTCGACCCTGGCCAAATGATTGTGGAGTCAGCGCGTCGCGTCGCGTCGCGTCCAATGCTATACCAGCAGACAGTGCACGTCAAACTATCGATATCCGGGGTTGCGTCAGCCACTCCACCCCTCGCCCTGGGCTCGGGGATTCAAGCCATACGTAAAATCGCTTTTTCCTAGTAGGCTATACGTAAAACTCGACGATAGCAATGTTGTAGAGCATATATAATAGGAGACTGAATATAAGTAGAATAAGAGACAAGAAACAGTGGATTTCCGGCATATTAGTAACCAAATTACGACCGTAGGACCTCAATCCGGCCTCTTAGCAAACCTTGAGTCTACTATATAATCGATCACTTCACATGTCGGCCTGTATATCCATTGTGTAACTGCTACCTCTTCTTATTAAGTGAATAACTAACTGCTGTATCTACTGTCTACCTCCTCTAGCTTAATAGGGTTGTTCTTACTGCTAGCGACCTCGCCTCGATAGCGGCTAGTTTTCTTCGGAGGCTCGTAGAAATGGCGCTTTCGCTATACTAACTCGTAGCGGCGGCGAGGATGTACTAAGTAAGGCCAAATATTAGTGTATATAGTATCTTCGTTAAGTAGCGCCTCGTCTTGTTATAACTAGTTAAGTCGAGTATTAGGCTCTTACGCGAATAGGCCATTCAACCGCCGCTTAGTCTCAACGTTAGTCTATATTAGAAGGTCGCCGTTACCTTCGTAATCGTAGGTGCGAGTCGGTAAACACAGTATTATTGTTAGGCTCTATATATATGTAATTTCGCCGTTCTTAGACGTATAAGTGTATCGCTTGTAATTGCTAAGAATGTCGGCGTATAGATTACTAGTCTTCTTTAAGGTAGAGATGTTGTCGGTAGTAAGAAGGCGCTTATCGAAGACGTGTCGTAGTAGCTTATCGTTAGACTGTAACTTAATGTCTATCTACTTAGTCTTACTATTATTGTTGAATATAACACAGAAGGCCTTACTGCACTTCAATCGATAGTAGCGCGCCCTATTACAAGCACCCTTCGCCTCGCAGAGCATCTTCTAGTACCTATTGTTGGCTATGTCCTTATCTTGCTAAGTGAGTTGTAAGCGTAGTTTATTTACCTCGATAGTACCTACTCGAATAAGCCGATTAGGCTGTTCCTTCTACCGCTTCTTTGCTCGCTTAACAATGCTCGTAGATTGGTATTTGCGCTTGTATTCTTCACCCTTATAGATAGCCGCGTTAACTAATATATTGTAGGCCTCTTCTGCTCGCTTTATAGGTAACGAAGAAAATAGGTTGAACGATAGTAATATAGGATCGATACTATACGGGGCTAGTTTTGGATGAGACCGTCGGAAGTCCTTACGAGCTTGTATAGTACTGCGAGATACCTTAATCGTACGAGGGCTAGTAGTGGTACCTAGGAGCTATTGCGGCAATTCGGGGGTCGGCGTTCGCTAAGGTAGCAGAGGTAGTAACGATAGTATGCCCTAAGTAATTAAGTTTTCGAGATCCCCGAGGTAGTAGCGACTATTAGCGTATAACTAGCCTTCTAGATCGACAATAGTAGGCTCCGCGGAACGTTGTTGCTTAACCGATGCGATATGCTCCTACTAAGCTATATCGGCTATTGCTAGCGATTCATTATAGCGGGCTTCTTCCTATACCAACTCGCTCTCAATTGCTTGCTAGTTCTAATTATAGTTAGTAGCCCTATACTGATCTCGAATATGCTTATAAGGGACCTCCCTATTGATTGGGAATATGCCTATCTTCCGGAATGCCGCCCTTATATTATGTGAAGTGAATGTCTTAGCCCGAATAGCTAAGAGTGCCTTAACAAACTTAGGTATTCCGAATTTACTAACACCACGGTATATAGCCTCTAGTACCGCTTGCCTGTGCCTTAGCTTATACACCTAAAATAGGACTACATCTAAAGGCTGTATAAAGTGTGAAGTGTGTAGTTGTAGGCCCTATAATTGAATCCTATGCCGCTTTGCAAAGGCTGCAAATTCCTTAAAGCAGTAGGAGCCGTAATTGTCGCATAATAACACCCTCTACTCGTTTGGATCTTTAGGCCTCGTCTTTCGCTTAAACTAGCGGATGTAATGCATTGTAGTATCGTCGGTTATATATCTAGACTCGTTAATAGTAATTAAGAAGTTGTCCTTGCCTAATAGTGTAGTTAGCAGGTGTCGTTACCTCGGAAGCGGACTCGGACTCGGAAGTAGCAATAGTAGCAATAGACTTACCTTCCTTCGGCACCTACCGTTCTTAGACTATTACACCTTTAACGATTAACTAATAATCTACTATCTTACTAAACGCGTTTACGGTCTCGACGACTGTTATATGCGTACGGTTGCTATTATATTCGGTCTAGGCGCGCCGCTTCGTGTCTATTATAACGATATACTCGTTACTACTAATTCCAATCCGGAAGCCAGTTTCATCGAAATTCTATATATTCCGCGGCTTTATATCTAGTCGCTTCATTATCGCCTTAAACCGGTCAAACTAGCTCCTTATCGCAGAAGGGTCGTAAGCTTCCTTCCGCTATATCTTAATCGGTTTAAACTTGACCTTACTAAGTCTATAGCGCTTTAGAAAGCGGTCCGCCTAATCTATACTAAATGGCGGTATTGTATCCTTCGACATACCTTCTAGCAGCAGGCTTACTAGCATATCTATCGCTATAACGGTAATTAGCGGCACCGGTAAGAATATGCCTATTTCGTCCCTCTCTCGACAATAATCCGCTAGCGCTATCTCTTAAGACTCGTCCAATTTGGTGTTAGTTAATAGACGACTGAATAGCGACCTACGGCCTCTTAACCGCTAGTAGATGCGAGAATATAGGCGAGTTGCTTTCTTACTCTTATAGAGCGCTCGAATGCTAACCTTCTTATTGTCCGATTTAGCTACTAATTCGTGGTACCTCGAAATAACGCGTTCTACTACCCTCTCCGCCCTCTCCGCCTTAGTTAACCGCTTAGCTCGCGCCCTCTTTACCTTTTTGCCCTTATTACGCCCTATACCGAGTTTTATATACGATCCGTAGAGTAGAATATAAGAAACAGGAGGAGCACGAGGAATATACGCTTTGGAATAAGGTAGACGCGCCTACTAAGGATTACATAAGAAATGGCGACAGTAAGGTCCTATAGCTACTACATACTCGGATAAACTAGCTAATATAATATTTGGACTCGCGGTTTAATACTACATGCACCTAGATATCTATATGGGACTGGAACCTACCACCATATCGAATTTTACGTGTGGCCTACTAGGAAAAGGCGATTTTACGTATAGCTAGAAACCCCGCGAACAGCGGGGAGGAGTGTGTGACGGAACCCTGGATACACGCCCGACCCCCCGAAGGCAGCGACGTCGATTGCCATGGATTGCTTCGTGCTGAGAAGCTTTCGTGCGAGATACAAAAAGCAAGGCCATTTCCCTCTTCCAGAAACCCCACAACCTCTCCTTTTGATGATATTGATAAGATCTGCAAGGGTCGACCCTCCAACAACCTCACATCTCCTCCCATCACATTTTATCCCAAACACTCACCAATCCAGCCCACCATCTTCGCCATCACAACCATGGCAGACCCCTACACTTCCACACGAGAAGCCTTCACCACCCGCCTAACCAGCGCCGAAATCCCCCCCAACGCGCACACCACGTTCAAAACCTATGCAGAAACCCACCAAAAGCTCCTCACCGCCCTCCTCCAACACCCAGCCATGGCCCCGAATCTCCAACAAACATACATGACCCCGGCGAATTCAAAGAATAAAATTTACTTCATGTATGTAAACAAACACCCACCCGAATTGCCCCAAATGAAAAATATATCCTCAGCCAACCATTCCTCATTCAGGTGGGACTTCGTCGGCCGAACACTAGTCAGTCCTCCCCCTCCCCACCACCATCCCCGGTATCCTCACCTTGAGTATAATTTCTAGGGCCTCATCCTCCAATTCGACCCACTCCGCAACCCCGCCCGTGGACCAAAGAAAGCGATCTGGAATGACGTGGTGAGCAGGACAGTCATGACGAAAATGTTGTTGGCGGAAGACGACACGTCGAAACTTGAGATTATGCTGGAAGGACAGTATCCTGATCAGCGGGGAAGACATCCGGAGATTGGGGAAGAGGTTTTGGGTGCTGCGAGGGATTTGCCGTGATGACGGGGAGAGGGGGGGGGGGATTGGAGAGGAGAGGGAGGGGTATGAGGATTGGATGGTGGAGGTGGAGGGGCTTTGTGATTACGATTGTGGTTGGGTGGTACTTTGAGGGAGGAGGTATAGCATTAGGACCGCTTGTCAATGCCGAATCGATGTTGCAATTATTCCGCCTTTACACACAGATAATAAGTGCTCGCCTTTGCATTTTACACGCATTATCATCGTCGTATTGACACCCTCCATCGGAAGAAGATGACAATGCTCAACTTTCCGACAGAGTCATTACCCGACCCTTCACCTGCTCTGAGCACCCCGAACGCGGACCGCGTCCATGCGAAATGTCGTCATGCACAGATTGTCGAGCCTTGCGAACGAAACCATGATGTGGTCGAGCAAATATACAATTGTTCGCTGTCAGAAAATATACATCGAATAGTACACCATCACTCGTCGCGTCGCCGCAAGTTGACCTCGCCGTCACATCTCTCATTTCTGTACACCTAGCTCCCTGAACTCCGCATGCAGCTCACTCAGCTTCGTGCTAAAAGTCTGCGTTCCTTTACATAGGCTGCGCGTCAGACGTATTTCCGCCGATGCCTCCACTGACATTTCCCCATAAAATCGTATTCAGAATCGAATACGGCGAATTCTCTTCTTCGGCCGTTACGGTAGTATCTGAGTTGGCCGGAGTGAAGATCTGGCTGTGATCAATCTTCAGCGTTCCGTCATTGTCCACGGGTGCAACAGTTGCGCCTCCATCGGTAGGTGTGAGCTCGTTGAATGAGCTTCTAGCTTCCTCGATGTTGAGCTTGCGAAGAGCAGTAATACCTCGTTGGACCGGTGCTGAGGCTTCGGTAGGATCCACTGTGGAAGTGATGTCACTCATAAGAGTGATGAAACGACCAATCAGCTTACGAGCACGCTCGTTGACTCTGTGTTCTCCAAGAATCCCGAGGAGGAGTGCAGAGCTGAGTGCTCGGTGCACGGCAGCCCATGATTGTCGCGCGAAGAATGTGATGTTGTTGAGGCCGAGAAAGGCTTCGATTGTGTTGACGAGGTTCTCAACGCACACCGACTTGAAACCTTTGACAAGCTCGCTTGAAGTCCTTGGACTTATGGCCGGCCGGCAAAGCTCTGACATGGCGTAGCTTGTGTGCAGGTACAGCGCCCAGTGTTCAAGTGTCTCTCGACTGGACGTACATTTCCTCGAATCGCGAAGATGCTCGGCAGCGTCGCGCATAATGTTCGCGATCTCTTCGCGATGTTGATTGATCCGCGCCACATGCTCTCGCGAGCTGGTCGCTCTTGCTCGGTCTCGCACAATATCCAGGCCGACCTTGGTCATGCGGTACATTGAGGCGTGATATGAGCTCGAGCTCACAATACCAAAATGCTGTGGCATCGGCTGGCTGCCAACGTCCAGCGAAGCGTTGCGGTCATATGTGATGGAAAGTAGACTGTCTTGCCACACGATAGCCCACCACACTTTCGATCGTGGAAAGACGACATCGGTTGGGACCGCGGGCGGGCATGCTTGGTGCAGGCCTAGCCCTTGGGCGAGTCTGATAGTCAATCCAAGGACCGACCAGGCCGTGCCAGCATTCTGTTTTCGAGATTAGAATATGGGCGGAAGAATGGCGCAACAGGATGCAGGCGTACCATGTTATTCGTCATGACATTGCCGATGATGATGAGTGCTTGTATGCTCTCAATGTGCGGCTGTGACAGGAAGTTACAGAATCGCAGAGATTCGAAAGAACAGCACACTGGGTCTGTTAGTTCGGAGCCATAATGTGACCACAGTACCTACTGACCGTATACTTGCGAGGTAAGTTCTCGCTCTTTCCGCGTTCGTGCACTGCATTGAGCTCCGCTTGCAAGAACTGCGAAGAGCATGCCTAACCAGTAGAAGCTTCTGCCGAACAAGGAGTGTTCAGTTACGCCATCATCTGGATTATTATAAGACGCGCGTGTGACTAAGAAGCCTGTGAGATCCTGTTCGAGTAGTTTGAGATCTGCAATGCCTGGATAGATGATGTAGCCCAGGTCGCGATAGCTTGCGAACAGACTCAGCATCTGGCTATCGCTTGGTAAAGCTTTCGCCAACTCGCGGGCTCTCTGTAAAGATCCGTGTGGCAGCCCCCACAGATCAACGAAAGGATATGTGGCAGACTCATTGTCGAGTCCAAACATTGGCAGAACCGACTTTCCAAGGAATTCTTGCAGCTGTTGTTGTTCTGCATGATTGGGGGTTTGGCCTTGGCTGAGCGCGTAAAGCATTGCTGGGACCGAGCCGCCACCGAGGTGTACTATCTCGCCCGAGTCATTTTTGGTATGCAAGCCGTGGACAGCAGTATGATCTCTCGTCCGATTGCCATCACTGCTGGTAGCATCGTCACTGCCATTAGCTCCATTGTGCGGATCGCCATTATTCCGGCGGATTTCTCGCTTCAAGTCTGTCAATTGATTCTCCAGACTGTTGAGTTTACGGAAGAGCAAATCAAGCTGACCCTGGCCCATGGTCACATAGCCAGCTCCGGCGACTCCAGGAGGCCCTACATCATCAGTCTGCCTAAGGACTGGATTTGGTGCACTTCCATCGAAGTTCTGTCTTTTACTTGGCGGATGATAAGAGCATAGCTCGGGATGATCGCGGTCACGGCATGTTTGGCATGGGCGTGAGAGATCGCATCTTCAGCAGTCAGCACAAGTCCAAGAAGCAATGGCAGCATTCGGACTATCATATGGCAGGACTCACTTCACTTTGCGCTGTCGACACGGATAGCACGCCTTGTGCTCACGCGCCTTGCGCTTCTTCCTCAGGAATTCATCGACCTCCTGCTGTGGCGGTATGGGCTCTGCAGGATAAGGCGACGCTTCCAAGCCTGTCAGTTGCGGATCCATTCCCTTGCAGAAGTCGCGATGTCAAGAGCACATTGCGTTCTCGGAGATCTTTCGCTTCTTGGTGGCTGCTAGGATGTGTAACACGTTCACCACTGGAACGTGGTCATTGGCGGCCGAACGGTTATGTTCGCTGTCACCGTCGGTTGACTGTTGATGAGATGAGATGGATGAATAATGTGTGGAGGTGCGACGATCTGGACGGGAGGTCGGCGAAAACGAAAACAAGCGTCATAAAGTTACGTGTGGCGCTAGGGAGAACCCTTGGTAGAATTGAAAAGTCAATCCGTTTTGCACCCGCCGAGCATGTGAATTATGCATGATCATATGTGAATGTTGGAAATAGCGCATGTGCTATGGGAGATTCACGGGCCATTGGGGTCTCGGAATTGTGATTATCTACAGTATCGCTATGCTTTCATGATCGCGCGTCATCCATCTCTTCGTCCTCATCTTCGTCTTCGCTAGAGCGCTGCTCAACAGGCACCTTCGCCGTATTCACCTTCATGCTGTCTGCGGTCTGGGACCGATTCAATCTTTGTCGAGAACGCGCATTCTTCACAGCCTTCTCATACTCTTCCCGATTCATATGACTGACAGGGCTGGCGAATCCGCTACCGCCTCCCGCCGTCGCTGCACTGGAGCCCGCTGGAATTTCTTCGGCCAACCGTTCTGCCATGTTCGCATCATACTCTCTTTCCTGCTCACGCACTGCATCAGGGTCAATTTCGCGCGCAGCCGCAAGCAAGTCCAGCGATCCATCGTCAGATGACTCGTAACCGTCGTCTTCGTCTTCGTCTTCGTCTTCTGAAGAGGCGTAATGGAGCTGAACAGGCTGAGGTGCAGTGGCTGGTGGGAACTCTCCCGGCGATGCAGGCGTCACCGACATATCGTCATCGACATCAGAGTCGTCTCCCGTCGAATCTTCACTGAATGGCATGTAGGTCAAAGCAGCCGGCAGACGTGAAGGTGGCAGCTCTTTTCTTTCCTTCACGATGACTTGTTTGTGAACAGCAGCACGCCTTCTGCGCGATACGCCATCCTCGTCCAGGATTCGTGCAAATTTGGGCGGTAGACTGCGCGGTGGCTTCTCGTGCGATACAGACGGTGCCCGCTCCTGATCCACTCGCGCGTGGTGACTTTCGACCGCGATGGAAAAATTGTCAGTGGGCCACACGCCGCCAATACCCGTGACTTCCAACTCCACCGGCTTCACGGCCTTCTCCTCTTCATCAGACAGTGGTGACTGTGCTGGGAAGCCCAGCTCCATCGACTCCGGTATGGGATTGTCGCCGAGGTTCATCGGCTCTGGCAGCTCGGAAGCCTCTGCCAAAGGACCGCGCTTCTCAGATCGAGACGTGTTCGTGGACGCCTGCGGCATCCCGAGCGGTTGTACCGTCGCAGTGACATATGGTGGCGCGTTGTTGCCTTTCGAAGAGCGGTCGCCACTAAGGTCTGTGCAGAATCGCGCGTTGTGGTAGAAGATGATCGGTCCGTCGTCGCGCTTGTGCCTCTTGGTTGAGGAAGTGCGCATGCCGCCAGAACTCGTCATTCCGGAGGAATCTCCTGCCGCTGGTGCTGGCCACGACGAGGACATGCTGTCATCTTCCTCTTCTGAAGAGTCTTCAGCGTCGTCGGTGCTGTCTTTGTGGAAGAAGAGTGGGGTGTACATCAATTTGTTGTTTTCCACCGCTGGAGCGCCAGACCTGCCACTGTTGCGATGCGACAGCTTGGGTCGCTTGTGTGGACTTCTCCGAACGGGAGTGTCGATGTCCGCACGGCTGTTTGATGATGCCCCGCCACTGCTGCTGCCGCGTGTGACTGATGATCCTCCCTTCCATCGGACCTTTCGCTCGTCGTGCGAAAGCTCGAACTTGGAGCTATACTCGCCCAATGCTTTTCGTACGAAGTCAGCAGTGACATTAATGGTGTGCAGTTGAGCCATATTGATGAGAAGATTGAGGTACACCCATCCATGACCCTCTGCTGCCTCTCCCAAACACTCAGGGTCCGGGGGTGAGAATCCCAAATGTCGCATGTACATGATGTTGTCTGTGGGCACTTGGGCACGATGAGGATCAAGATCGAGCGGCCGAGTGGGTCTCTGTTCGACAGATGCATCTTGTTTAGACATGGCGTCTGCGGGACGCTTTCCAGTAACGGTTGGTTGCTGCTCGTCGGGAGAGCTATCATGGGACGAAACGTTGTTATGCGACGGCACAACAGTCTCCTTGCCATCACGATCGCGCATAATGCGAGCCTCGCGAGTTCCCTCTTGCCTCGATCTTCGTCCAGCGCCTACAGAAGCAGCTCTGTCGGCACGAGCAGCCGATTGCGACACTTCTTGCTGTTGCTGTGGATGATGGTGACCACCAACAGCACCTTTCCCGGCAAACACTTGTTCGAGGCGTCGTACAACTAGCTTCTTCTTCATTCGTTCGGTCATATTGGCTGGGCTCGGCTGGGGTAAGAGACCTTCGGGAATGTGATGTAGATATGTATGGATGTTTTGTCGTCGAAGGGCAGCATTTGGTGCAGATCGCTTGTTCAACGTCTCGCCACCGGACTGTGCTGCGGATGAGCCTTGTCCGGATGCCGACATGGAAGCATATGCAGAGTCTGCATTTTGCAACGATGCTAGCGACGATGTTGCAGTCTTGTGGGTAGCCAGAGTTGGCAAAGCTGGAACAATACCTTCGTAACCACTGGCTGGGAAGCTATCAGACCCCAGACTTGCAGTGAATTTGCGAAGAGTATCTTCGAGTTCACGCTTCTTCGCTGCTGGGAGTCCGTGTATTCTGACTTCGAACAACTTATCGTCCTTAAGATGAGAGTCGTGAAGTTTTTCATACTTCTTCAGCTTTCTTCTTAGCTTCTTGTTCTCGATCGTCAAATCATCTATGACTCCCCGATAATCTTCCGTGCTACTGCCGTCCGTACCAAGATGTAAGAGGCCCGTTTGCTGTGGAAGAGATCCCGAGGCATGGTTGGACGTTGCGAGAAGATTTCTCATCTGCTGTTGTTGCGCTTCTGGTGGTGTTTCGGATGAAGAGGAGTGTCGCATGAAGAATGGCGGATCGTTGTCGGCGAACGGGGCACTATCGCGCACTTGGTTGTTCGACTTTTCGAACCACTTTTCTGCGCTACTGCTTTCTCCAGAACTATCCCTGCCCAAAGGTTGCAAGCTTGAGGGCGATCCATCGCTGTTCTTTCCGTCTGTTGCAGCCTTCGAATTCGTACGACCTTGATCATCGCTGGAGGAGTCGCTTTGATCTCGCGGCGAGGGAGATGGCTTTCGTCTCGGAGAGTGCACAAGCGAGACGGATCGATGAGGTGGTGGGCGTCGAGGATGTGGTGATGATGGTGCCCCAGGTTGTGCCGGCGGGGTCATCACAATCATCGGCGTCGGGCGATGAGTCGCCATGTGCGCTGGTATAACGTGCTTATGACTTTTTGGTGTCCATGTGTAAAGCGGCAGACAGCGGGATGCTGAGTCTGCGACAGTGAGATATCCTGGATTCGTCTATGGTATGTGGAGGCCGGGAGGATGGCGCAGTCAGTTCTGCAAATGGTCGTGACAGATTCCACGCGAGTGACGCTGGGCCAGGGCATCAGACGACCATCGGTCGACCTGGGCCCTGTGCTCGATGCGCAGAATTGCCATGCCATGCCATCTGAGATCTCACACGCTGCGCGGCGCATAGCCCCGATCTTTGCACGCCAAGACAAAGGCTGCGATCGCGAACGGTGCTCGGAAGCAACGAACCGAAGAGCATCGTCGATGACACACGGCTGACGTGCACCACGTATTTTTCTTGGTATGCTCTCTCCGCCCTCTCCATCAGTGTCAATGTTTCGATACACACACACACACACACACGCGCGTGGTGCCACGGTGATTCGTGCGTGTGCAGCACTTCATTGTTGAGGAGAGCGCAGACTGCCCTGAGGAGTCCAAGACGTCCGAAATTGCGCCCTGTCGATGCCCGTGATGAGAACGTCGATTCAAACACCAGGAACGATGAAGCATGCTCACGTCACTGCTGACTGGTGACACTCTCGGCTACGACACGATCGAAGATTCAGATGAGGCTCTGCTGCACTACTACTAAATCTCCTGTTCGTCGGAGAAGCATAGTTCGAGCCACCACACGCAGCGCCGACCTGGTTTTCTTGCCGAGATCAACATCTTCAACACCGAGGATCGATGAATGACTTGTATAGTTTGCAGTTCGAACGTGCAGAATGTGTGTCGCTGGGCCATTGGTGGAGATGTTGATATCCATCTAGTCTTCTTGTGCGGCAATCTGGTGTAGTCGCACATGGTGACACCAAACGCCAGCCGCGTCTTATCGAGACTTCCTTCGACGCTCCTGGCCGCATTGATTGCCCCATGGTAAGTCGCAGATATGCGCAGTAACGATCTCTCTTCAATTTCATCTGTCGATTGCAGCTGTTTCCATCGCAACGTGGATGATGCCGCCGCTCATAGTAGTGTTCGACGCAGGCACAGGCCGAGTCCAGCGCCTGATATCAAGGTTTCGATCTTCAATCCAAAGCATCAAGGCAGACGTGCAAGACCCTTCTCAACGATACTGCCGCCGCGTGAGACCATGAAGGGTCTTATGGTGGCAATGCCAGGTCGGTTTCCGATGGGCCTGCAGGCAGGCAGCGCGCACCACGGTCAATTACCTCGTCAGGGGGGTCAAACAGTACACTTAGATCGGTCTCGGTGTCATTCAATGTTCGCAGCAAGGCTGGGGATTACTGGGCGACCATGACGAACTGTCTGTACTTCTGTCAATGAACTTTCTAGCAACGAGTTTCGGTCAAGATTGGCTTTCGAGCAGCGTGCTTGACTCGCTGAGCTATCGCTGAAGCCTGAAGCAAAGGGGCTCCTGCCACAGTACGGGAACCGAAGCATCAACGCCCAGCCATCTGCAGACCCTGAGAAAGACCCTGAGCGTTGTTCTGTAAGAGCCATGAGTTGTGGTCGTGCAGATGAGTGGCGAACTTGAGCCTGTTTGTCACCGACCTTACTCACTCGACTGAAGGCGAGACGCTCTAGATGTCCATGAGACCGCGGCTGAATTGGACAAGAATGAATTACAGAACAGCCCGAAGCAAGCCTGCAACAACCATTATAAGCATTACTACCCGCCTCTCTTCCCCCATCCGCTCTCCCCGGACGCCTATCAACACCATGCACCCTGCTGCTCCTCTTAACGCCTCGCAAGTGATGCGCACAGCTTCAGTGTCTCGTCTGGGTGACTTTTCCACGTCTTCGCTTCGTCTTGCTCTAAAATAGCACATCCAAACAACAACAACAAGCCATGGCAGCCATTATACCTGCGCAGCAACCTGCACCTCCTCCCGCTCCCGCGCCTCTGTCTTGCGGCGGCCCTCCGTAGTAGCCGCCCTGGGGTGGGTAAGGCCCTTGTTGTTGATACATCATGGGTTGTTGGCCATATTGTCCTGGCGGTGGACCGTACGGTTGGTTGTATGGTTGCGGGCTGCCGTATTGTTGCGGAGGAGGCGAGCCGTAATATCCTGCGTTCTCTCCTCGTGGATCGCCCACTGGCCCAGCATCATAGTGTGCTTGTGGAGGCTGTTGAGGATAGCCTGGGGGCGGGCCTGCTGGTGCGTCCTAACAGCAATGTCAGTGGCTGGTTGTATCGGCCAGTTTGCCAATCACCCACGTATTTCGACATGACTCTTGATCGCTTCGGCGTAGCTGTAAGTCCGTTGAGTGTAGTGAGTGCAGTGAGTGTAGCCTGTGGGCACTGCAAAAGCTATAGCGACAGTATCGATGCGGAGGACGCGGCTTCAAAGGTGTACGACATTGCAGGCAAGAGCGCTGGCATAAGAGGCTCACGAAATCTCTCGGCACTTGGCCATTTCCTTGGGAGGCGCAGCTCGACTCGACAGCATCGGCCGCGTAATCCACAGCACCTTTTCAGCATACCATTTCATGCCGTTTTGGTAGACCTCTGCCACGCCACGGCTTGACGGCCAACAACAATGCCAGTGTCCAACATGCGGAAATCGGTCTCGAGTCGGCTGTGCTGGTTGAGGTGTCTAGCTAACGTTAACAAATCTGGCGTCTTGCCTTGTGGCACAAAAGGCTGGGCGGGGCGATGCACGCCAAGCTGCCAGGATGCTGCCGCCAGAGTAGGCAATGCGAGCAACATATATGATATTGTTGCAACCCATAACCGCATAACGTAAGTTCGCTGTGGTTGAACCCTATCGTTCTCACGCGACTGTTCGCAGTATTGACGTCGGGTTGTCCCGTCTGTGCTGGCGTGAAAGCGTCTCCGTCGCGACGCTGGATCTGCGTGCCTTTGCCGCCGACAGAAGCAGTTTGAAACATGCACGAGACGGCAGCGTCCTGTCCTCATCATCACTCCTCCAACCGTTCGTTGTTGGATCATATGCCTGCGTATCGCTCTGCCTCCTGTAAGTTAGGCTGTTGCACGCCTGTGTTTTCGCGCGGAGCCTCCGCCATGTCATGGTCACATACTACACCTGCGCTTGTCCCTTCACCCTGCAGCGCGCATATGAATAATTCTTCACTCTCTTCTCTGCCCTGCTGCCTCGCACTGCTACCTTGATCATCAGTGAGCATGAGGGCACGCATTCCGCACAATCCGGATCAATGGCTGGCACAGTGGGGACGCTTCCATATTCTACTGAAACCGTCACCACGTTCTGGTCCACGTCTGTCGTCACAGTACTGGCATCAACATCAGGTATAGATTCCACAACAACCACAACATCACCAACAACAACCACAACATCACCAACAACCACAACATCACCAACAACAACACCACCACCACCACCACCACCAAGGCAAACACGTACAACCAGTCGCTCAACATCAGGATGGAGCAACATCACAACGTCGACACAATCACATTCAAGGATATCCCGGCCACCCGCCATCAGCCAGCCCACGTCTGGCGCATTGGCCGCTCTGCCATCAGTGGTCACTTCAATCTCAAACTATACCCTGCCACCTGTAGTGACAGCCATTCCTACCGCACGCCTTTCTTCCTCAAACAATGCGACAACAACTGCTATGCGATCAAGCAACCCGCACAAACGTGCTGTCATCGGCGGACTTTCAGGCGCCATAGCAGGACTTGTCGTCATTGGCGTGCTTATATGTCTGGTGCTACGATGGCGGCGAAAGGATCATGACTCTGATCTCACCTCGTTGACGGAGAAGGCAGACAGCGAAGAGGCACGACCGCCGTTCAAACAGAAGCTGACCGCTTTCGCTACGCTTCTGCCAATCAGTCGTCTTGCCAGAGATTCACCCAGCAGCAGTCAAGTGCGGCCGCACAGCATCTCGCCCGTGAGCGTGGATGAAGACCATCGCATGATCCGCATGAGCACCAGGCATTGGCCACGACCCTTTGTTCCGGGTGCCGGGGAAGGCTACCGAGACTCAGCACCTCTCGGCCAGCTGCGAGTCGTCAATCCGGATCTCCCTCGTCCTACCACACCACGACGATCGACTGATACAGCGACCAGCTTCCTGCGAAAACCACGGGAGGCCTTAGCTGGGTTTGTGTTCACCTCGCCAAGACCGCAGTCTGTAGGCAGGATGAGGCCAATTGCGCCTGCTCAAGATTTGCCCACTACAGCAGTGGTAGACCCTACTCTGTCTCGGGAATGTGTGGCAACCTATGCTTCGACACCATCATTCAGGTCTTACCCATCCTTGATCTCACTGCCTACCGTACAGCAACACCCAGCTGAGGATCCTTTCTTCACGCCGCCCGGTGAGACAGAGAAACAGCTACCTGCTCTACCACATGAGCCAGAGCCATCTACGACATCTGTTTCTGGATCGGCTAGCAAGACTCGGAATATTCTTGGCTCCTTGCTTCATCCTATGCGAGCACGAGCAAATACTACCAATTCACAGCCAGCAACACAGGCCCACGGACTATCGCACTTCTCTGTTTCCACCAACGCTTCGAGAAGTAGTAGGCGCAGCGACCCTTTCGATCTGGATAGACCGAGCATCCGTGGCAGTACGCCTGCCCGATCTGGACACGAATGTCACCGGGAAGGCCATGCTCCCGTTCGGACCTTGTATGAGGGTACTTGAGGTGCAGCAAATAATAACCTTATGAAGACATGCATGATACATACTGTATGACCGACTAACGAATTTACGAATGATGCTTCAACCCAGTGAAGCTTGATACCCAGACTTGATGGAGGCTTGCAAAAACGGTTCTTATGTATTATCAGCAAATGAATTCAACGCTCGTAGGGGCATTACTTTAATCCCTTGTGGGAAGTCGATTGAAGATACCTTGACACTTCATAATGGAACTCCAATTTGTCTGGGTAGTTCGCTGTGAAATGTTGCAGCTGCAATGGACGGCCTATACGGGACACAGTGGTCGAGAAGAATGCCGAATGCAGCTCTGGAATTCGAGCCGTCGAGCTGCCCGTTTCCATTGCCAGCCTCTCCAGACAATTGCAAAGAGACCTGATGGAGCTTTCTTAGCTCGTCCGCGACCGCGGTTGCCCAGCAGTCGTCGCAAGTGGCTATAGCTCTCTGACACAGTTCCGGATGAGGTTGCACCAGTAGATTGGAGCAGTTGAGCGTGCCCAATGGGAAACGCAGTCTCACGTGGAAACTCGCATTCACTTGAACCCTTGTCACGCATGTGAAATTGTTACGTCAGCGTGTGGGAATCTCAGTCCCTTTCCAACGGCAACAGCCAACAACGACACTCTTCTTCTGACAAGCAACTCTGCTGATCTACAATCACACATTTCGTGCAAGGTAGACACGATGCGCGCCTCTATGGTGGCTGCAGCGCTTGCGATCACCTGCACTTCCCTCATTGAGGCAAATATTCTGGCTTCTTTCAGAAAGAACTCACAACTCCCATTTCCATCGGCATCGGCATGCCCGTTGGCCTCATCTGATTTGCGCAACATCAGCATCGGTGCCGCATACGACTGGTCGCAAACAGCAGAAGCGCTCAACGTCCTCTCAAAGTGCGCTGACCTCCTGTCCACTACACTTGAGCTTTCCATCAACATCTCAATCCCTTTCGAACCACCACCGAGTCCCATTACGTCGCGCCTGAACAAGATCAAAGAGCGTATCGAATCCGGTGTCAAGAACTCCTTCACCACACACCAAACGATTAAATTCGGAATCCGTCCACCGCAGAAAATCATCCGTCAACCCGATTTCCTCGAGCACGGAAAATCAGAATTCTTGCATCGAAAGGATGACTTCAAAGTCCACGCCTTCAACCAAAAAGATCTCGAAGCACTTGACTCCATCGACCAACACCGCTTCAACTTCATGACTCCCTTCGCCCCAGAAACCTCACAAATCGCCCTCCAAGATTTCCAAGCCAGCCTCCAACCAACCCTCCTCCCCATCCCACCACCACCAGAACTCCTGCACACCTTAACCTCCCTCCTCCAAAAAGCGACAAACCTCGAAACTCTACATCTCCGACTCCATCCTCCCTCGCACGAAGTGCCAGAAAATTTCCACCAAGCCTTCATAACCTCCAACCTCAACCTCTCCAGCATAAAATCTCTGCACCTAAGTCCAGGAATGGATTTCCTCGTCGCATTCACGCCGAATGTCATCTCCATCACTGCAAACGGCGTTTGGAACACCATCCAATCTCTCAACTTGATGAATTCCACCAACTCCCTCGAACACCTCACGCTCAGAACGAGATGGGATGAAAGGAAACTTGACGCTCTCGTTCAGAATTGCGAGAATTTGACGAGTCTGGATATGCTTTCTCCGGGTGGGGATGGGCAAGTGGTGAAGTTTCGGCGGGGAATTCACTCGGATGGTGGAGATACGAGTGCGACGAGGTCGGTGCATGGTTTGAGGGTTTCGAAGTATCAGCGAGGACCGAGAGGACGGGGGAATTTTACGAGGTTGTTTGAGGAGTTGCCGAAATTGGAGACTTTGGTTGTTACTTGAATGGCGTACAGGAGAAAGAAGGTCTTGGTGGATTGGGCTGAGGGTGAGGTGTTGTTAGCTGGACGGCTAGGAGGTGGCGTTGTACCGCTGGGATGCATGCGTACATGTATTTCGAGCTCCTTTTTGCGTCACTAGGCGGCCGCATAATGCTCGAGTCTATCCGAAGAGAATCTCTCTCAATCCAGAAAGAGTGTTTCGAAAAACAGCTACAAAAATGTAAATTTCCCCATCTTCTGTCGCGTCGAATCTACTGCTACAGCAGATATATTCCGCACAATACTCACTCGCTATACAATTGCACGCTCCCCCCAAAACTCCGTACTTTACACCATCCTCCCCACCCGTCCAATCGACCTCCCTTTCCTCCTCCGTTCCCAAAATTTCCTCCCCTCATCAACCCAAAGCACCGAACTTGCCACAACCACAAGTTTAACCAGATCCACGAGTGACAACGCCTCGGTCTGAAATACCGCTTGCAAAGGAGGGAAATATATGACTAATGCCTGTCCAACCAAACTTCCTAATACAGCATATGTGAACATGACGTTGCCGTCGCCACTTTTGCCAACCCAGTTTGGTGGGAGTAAGGGTACTTCGCCCATGAGAACGCTGCGGTTCGCGGAGCGGCAGGATAGGGCGTTGAACATGTCGAAGAGGACAAATTGGGTGAAGGTGAGGGTTGTGTCGCGGGCGGAAACGGAGTGCGCGACGAGGTCTTCAGCGGAGAGGTGGGAGTAGTATGTGAGGAGGGTGCCGGTGAGGATGACGGCTGCGCTTTGAAAGACGCGACGGAGGAGTTTTGGCGTGAGAACGCGGGCGGTGCGAGGTCGTGGAGGTTGCGTGAGAAGGGCAGGGTCGACAGGCTCTACCCCTAAAGATTGTGCGGGCGGTCCGTCCATGATGATGTTGATCCAGAGAATCTGCATGGCGTTGAGCGGGTTCTTCAGTCCAAACAGGCTGCTCAGCATGACCAGTCCCAATGCCGAAACGCTTGTGCTGAGCTGGAAAGTCAGGAAGTTCTGAATGTTGTAGAAAATGCCTTTGCCTTCTTCAATAGCGCTCAGTATTGTTGAGAAGTCGTCATCAGTCAAGATCATGTCCGCTGCTTCTTTGGCAACATCTGTGCCTAGTTTGCCCATGCTAATACCAATATCGGCTTTCTTGAGCGCAGGTGCATCGTTGACACCATCTCCAGTCATCGCGACAACATCACCGCGAGACTGCAGAGCAGAGATGATCTTCAGCTTGTGCTCGGGGCTTGTGCGCGCGAAAATGCTGATGCGACTCATCGCTTCTGCCAAGTCTGCTTCGCTCATCTGATCGAGTTGATCGCCGCGAATGACTGGAGAGCCGATTGCAGAGTTGAGGTTGATGGGCATTCCCAGCTTCTTTGCAACAGCAACAGCTGTGGCCTCGGCATCACCAGTGATCATGATCACTTTCACACCTCCTGCCAAAAGGCGGCGTATGGATCTGTCCACACCTTTCCGTGGCGGATCCGACATGCCGACGAGACCAGAAAAGCAAAGTCCGGTGTAGACGTTCTCGTCAACGCCGGAAGATTGGCCCAGCGCTGCCATTGGTGTGGAAGCTCTACTACCACCACTCACATCACGGCTGGTGTTTCTGCTTGCAGCACCCCGTATCCTGACAGGACCACTGGCAAAAGCGAGAACGCGAAGACCTTCTTCCGCCATCTGTCGAGCGGCTAGATCGACTTCTTGCCGTCGTTTGTCGTCCAGAATGACTTCGCCTTGAGCAGATATGTACGTGTCACAGCGACCGATCACGCGTTCGAGAGCGCCTTTGATGTATGCAGTGTCGCTTCCGTCACTTGCTTCATTGATCACGCCCATCCATTTCCGCGAGCTAGAAAAGGGTATCTCGTGCTTCCGTTGGCCGATACGACCGCGCACGTCCTCTTCGTGAAAGTTGTCCAGCAGGTCCAAGAGCGCGACATCCGTTGGCTGGCCAGCCCAACGGCTCTTTGCATTGGCTAAATCGTCGTCGCCACCTGTGCTCGCAAGCACCGCGGCGCTAGCAGCTGTGATCTGACCATGACTATGCGTGTTCAGTCTCCCGTCGTTGACGATATTTGCTGCTCTGAGTACGGCTTGTGTGGTGGCTGCATTGAGGCTTTCGGAATAGACCTTGTTGACGTCTTGCGGCTTGTCGTTGTCGAAACTCCACATCTTGGTGGCAGTCATGTGGTTGGTGGTGAGGGTTCCTGTCTTGTCAGAGCAGACCACGTTCACAGATCCCAGTGTCTCGACGGAAGGCAATCTGCGCACAATAGCATTCCTCCGGCTCATGCGCAAAACACCCAGCGCAAGCGTGACAGTCACGATGATTGGCAGACCTTCGGGAATGGCTGCTACGGCCAATGACACTCCGATCTGGAAGAGCTCCAGGAAATTCCTGCCTCGCCAAAGACCAACAAGAATAATGACAGCAATCACACCGAACGACATGTAGCTGAGCTCCTTTCCTAATCGATCCATGCTCAGTTGCAGTGGTGTCCTCGGCGACTCAATCTCCTGCAAAGAGGCACTAATTGCGCCAAACTCGGTATCGCCTCCAGTCCCGATGACAATGCCATGTCCATATCCCGATCGAACCAGAGTTCCCTGAAATGCGATGTTGGTCTGATCGGTGAGACGAATCTCTCCGCTCCTCATCAGAGTCGAAGGATGTGTGCTGCCATTTGCATAGTTGACCGGGCCAAGAGTGTCTGCCGTCTTCGCCACAGGCTCATTCTCTCCAGTCAAGTTACTCTCATCAATGCTGAGATCAGCGGCATGAACGATTCGAACGTCGGCGGGTATCCGGTCACCGGTGTGGAACAGCACAAGATCTCCCGTCACGAGCTGTGTGGCAGATATAGTCGTGCTTGCCTTGTCTGCATTCTTCTCGCTAGCCGTGCCCTTTGGCTCCCCATTCTCAACTGGCTCGGACGCAGATGTCCTGATCACATGCGCGAAATGCGGCACAAGCTTGTTCAATGCTTCTAAGCTCTTTTCACTTCTATACTCTTGCACGAACGCGACTGACACGACTATGGTCACTGCAATGAATATGGAAATCGCGTCCTCGTAATTGCCCATTACAGCAGACACGGCAGCACTGGCAAGCAATAGGAGAATCAAGGTCTCCTTGAACTGCTGAACGAAGCGCAGCCATAATGGATCTGGTTCCTCCGATGGCAACTCATTGGTGCCTTGCACCTGCAATCGCGTCGCGGCATCGGAAGGGTGCAAGCCATTGGTGAGAGACGTGGAATGCCTCTCGGCGACTTGCTCGGGGGTCAGAGTCGCATGTTGCGCGGTGATGCTCTGCTGTCCGGGCAGCTTTATTCGACTGGAGGCTCGAGAGTGTAGAGAGCGGCCTTCGGTGGGCGCAGTCAAGGAATGCGACTGGGAACCGCTTGGCGGTGCATACGGCGATGGAGATGGTGCATTGTGCAGAGGTATGATCGGGGTGGTGGATGGGGACATGCTTGGTCGGCCATATGAACGCCGGGCGGATGGTGGCTGATTCTCTTGACTGAAGTCGCTCAGGAGTAGGAGGAGGAGTGTGGTCTGGTTGAGAAGGCCGTCCGTCACATTTGGCCCTGCTTGGCCTTTGGCTGCCAGAGGTTATTGTCGGCGTCTGCTGCGCTGCGCTGCGCTGCCTTCCGCCGAACAAAGCAGTCTTGCAAAAAAGCTCCACGCACATGCACGTCTGGCCGCGTCTCCAACTCGCAGCATCGCACCTTCCCCTACGCGGCGCGGCCCCAGGCCAGGATTAGGCATCAATTAAGCTTGGCCTAGCGTGGCTGCCTGAGGCGGCCTTGGAACTAAAAACAGTCCGCGTGCCTCCCAACCTCTGAATAATCCGGAAGCCTGAACTCGCACAGTCACCGTCATCCACCATCCACCATCCACCACTCACCAACACCACCTCGACACCCGCGCATTCGCATCATCATTGTGAGCGGCTGCATTACTGTATTCACCACCCGACGACATGCACTTCTTGGCATAAAATTCACCTTCCGCACGGCGAGTGACGCGTCGTGTCCAACAACAACAACAACAAAGACGCGACGACCAGGCGCATTACTCCTACCACTCCCACCACACGTCTGGACTCTACCATCTTTGGAGATCAGTATCGCATACACCCAGACTCAACGTAGAAAGCCCTCACGATGTTCTACGAAGCCACGCTGCTGTCCAAGACCGGGCCCTTGGCTCGCGTCTGGCTGGCCTCCAACCTCGATCGCAAACTGACCAAGCAGAACGTGCTGCAGTCTAATTTGGAGACGAACGTCAAGGATATCATTGGAGAGAGTCAGGCGCCTATGGCCCTGCGTCTGAGTGGGCAGCTGCTGTTGGGTGTCGTCAAGATCTACAACAGGAAAGCCAAGTACCTGATGGATGATTGCAACGATGCCTTACTCAAGATTAGGCTGGTGAGTGCATAGCATGTGTGCACAGCATGCCTTGTGTGCTAATCATTCATCAGGCCTTCAAACCGGGCAATGTCGATCTCCCCACTGATCAATCACATCGAGCAAACCCGAACGCCTTGATTCTGCCCGATACCATCACGGAACTCGATCTCTTTGCGCCTCTGCCAGATCCCGAGGACCTGCTGCGAGAACCAGAAGCACGCGCGCCCGGACAGGATCCTACTTTGCTCGACTTTGGAATGAGCCAGATCATGGACAGCCAAACACCAACCCGACCTAAGGAGAAGCGGACGCTACTGCTTGATGACGATGATCTAGGTCTCGACCTGGGACTCGACATGGACAACGACATTACACGTTTGAGCGAAGCACCCAGTATAGAACAAGGCCGTCGCGCTCCAACTCCGAGACGCGATGAGCCAACGCTGCTGGAAGATGACGATCTCGGTCTTGATTTTGGATTCAACGACGACACTACCTTGAGACCTACCACTGAAGCTCCTGAACCCATCATTGCTGCAGATGACGACCTCCACATGGGCGGCATGGACGACGACGAAGTTGCTCGCGCCAATGCTGCCGCCATGGAACGCGTAGCCACTGCTGGCGAACAGCGTCGGCGCTCAGAGTCCCTTCTCTCATCCATTCGTAGTAGTGTTGAACGCGATCTAGAGAAGACTTTCCAGCTCGACCAGGCCCAAATGCATGAGGACGAGGACTCCACTGTGCTTCAAGCAGCACAACGCGTGAAGCGAAGAAAAGTTGTCCGTATGGACAATGAGACCGAAATCCATAACAGCCAAATCAAGAAGATGCAGGAAGATCGCTCTGCTATCACCAAAGCGCCGACTTACTTGCCACGAGATCCGCTCCTGCTCCAGCTCATGGAGATGCAACGAAATGGTAGCTTCATCAGCAACCTCATGGACGGCCAGATGCGCGGATGGGCACCAGAGCTCCGAGGTATTCTTTCGTTGGAGGTTGTCCGCAAAGCAGGTGACAAAAAGCGAAAGCGAGACTCTGGTATTGCCGATGTCGAGACTGACGGAGAGAGGCAAGAATCGCCACAGCTTGAAATTCCACAAGATGAGGACGAAGGCTTCCAGGCTGATGCTGGCGCTCATGACTTCGATGTCACTGCCAATGACCATGTTCAACTTAACCTTGATGAAGATGAACATGAGGAGTACGAGGACCACGGTGCAAATTTCGATGTGACCGAGGCACCTCTTCTCCACCCATCTCAGGGCGGCGCTGTTGCTCTTGGCACGAAGAAGATGGTGCACATGCTTCGCGAGCACTTTGCACCCGAACATCCCAAGCACGCCAACGAGCCACCGACACCGAGCAAGCGAGTTAAGAGCTCAGCTTTGTTCACGGATCTGTGTCCCGAGAAGCGAACTACGAAGGAGGATGCCACGAAAATGTTCTTCGAACTTCTGGTGCTGGGTACGAAAGACGCCATCAAGATCGAGCAAGATAGTAAGGGACTTGGCCTCCCGATCAGAGTGCGAGGTAAGCGCGGTCTCTGGGGAGACTGGGCAGAGATGCAATCTGGCGGCGAGATTGCAAGCCAGGCGCAGCCAGAAGCTCAGCCCGCTCACGTTGAGGGCGAGGCGTAATGATGTCGTCGTCTTTGATAAGTTAGCGAAGGCGCTCTGGTGTTCGGGGATGAGGTTGCTCTTGGGGAATAGTGGTGAAGAACTGGCACCAGGCCTGAAGAGGCGTATTAAATTGGACGGTCTTGGATATTCAACTTCTTGTCTCGATGGAGATGCGAGAGTTTAGTATTTTGTGATATCCCCTTAGCGAGAAAGCGAGAGACGCAATGTAACAATGAAGAGATGAAAATGAGATTCAATGATTCTAGCCACCTTGGCAGGAAGACACACGGACACCAGAGACAGACGCTCAATAAAATGATCTTGATTCTGGTAGGCTTCGTTGACGTTCTCATGCACCAAACCGTTGTAGACGCCACGACGTGGATTTCAGACATTGGGGACTTCTCGATCCCCAGGACAGGTAAGCTGCAAGAACTTCGTTATGGCCTTGGACACAGACGAACGACTGTCGGCGACCACGCTGATGTTGCTCCACCATCCATCCGCATTGCAGACTATTGAAAATGGCTCCGGTGAAAAACGTGGTGTCTATTCTGGACTCGGCGATCCAATGACGGACAAAGAGCAGAGCATTGAGATCCATGCTCGGTTCGCACGTGGCGGTCGAGATAGCTTTGACGGCCATCGATAACACGGCATATCCAGCCTGATGAAGATGGTCATGAGTTGGCCTAGACGGTCAAGAACACTAAGCCTTTGTCGAAACTGTGCGTGTACCAAGTCATTACAGCGCTGCGGTCACAGGTCTTTTTAGGCGCAGATAGTGCAGCTGCAATACAAGAGCAACATTTATCAAGGCGCATACATGTATCCTCAGGCGAGGAATTGGCTTAATCCTTGGGCAACCAGTAGCAGCCGCGGGTCTTGAACAAAACAGCAAAGTCACTCTTCCTTGAGCCATTCTCAACATTGAACAGATCGTCATCAACGACTTTCCCCTTCGACCGAGTCAATGCGGCATTCGGATCAAATCTTGCCAATCAGCAGATGGGCTCGGAAATGGTCTCTGTTGGAACTGGAACGAATTGGGGTTCTGCTGAGTGTTTGAAGAGGTGCACGTCTCGTGCGTCGGCCGAGTTCTGCTGCATGTCGCAGAAATTCAGGCTGTGCTGATGAATGAGCATACGCTGACTTCGGTGCATCGTTGCATCGGCGAGAGTAATGTCGTGAACCGTGGAACTTCGTCGACTATCTCCTTGCAATCATATACTGTGAACTTGTTTCTCGGCTTCAAGCAAACAAGGCGTCAAAGCT